TTTTAAAAGGAACCTGGAGTTATAGATTCCATTAACCACACTGTGTCCCTTGCAGGGGAGAAGGAAAAAAAAAATAAAAATCAGATGCCAAGGCAATGCAGAAATACATTGAAGTGTTCAAAGCAACACTCTTAAAAATTAATCCTAACTTCAAATTAGATTAAGACCAATTGATAAAGCACTGTTAGCATGTGGTGAACTGTTGGAGGGATACGTGAATGAAAGCCTTCCAGAGGGAGCACTTTTGCAAGCTACAGTACAGGAAGTACACACTGGAACAAAACAGCAGCATAGATGTACATGGAAATAGTTGCTGCACATGGCTGACCAGAGGGGGACTTAATTCAGTTTCTTCCACAGTTTGTGCAGGAAACAACCAACCATCTGAATACAGACCTCTGCATGAACCACTTGCTTAGAAAACCATACATGAAGAACGTAACTGGGGAAGGGTGTTTTGTTCCCCCTTTGCAAATAAAGGCTATTTTAACTGTTACCACCTCAAGGGGAACTCCTCCTTTAGGATGCAGTACCACACACTGAGCTGAAGTACAAAATCAGATTAGTGGCACCAGTTTTTGCCTTTTATTTTTTCCTCCTCAGGAAGATGCTTGCTGTTAAATCCACTCCTTTTACAATGTTTCTTTCTTCCTTCATTTTTATATGTTCTTCCACAAAACTTGTAATATCACTTTAGCCATAGTGCACTCTCTCCAGTTAGGGGAGTCCAACTCCTTTAAAGGAGCCACCTGGCAGGAGGTTTCAAGTGGAGTCTCACAGGAGTCTGCCCTGGGCTTGGTGCTGTTTAAATTTGTTTGTTAACAATTTGGATACTAGAATTGAGAACTTTCTGAGCAAAGTTGCAGACTACATGAAGGGAGAAGGAATGCAAACATGCTAGAGGATAGGACTACAATTCAGAAGTATCTTGATAGATATGCTACACCTCAACAAGGGTAATCAAAAACACAAATACAAAATGAGAGACAACTGGCTGCAATGGCAGCAACACAGTAGGATTTAGGAATCTTAGTGGAGTATGGCACAGCTGTGCAAAGGTAAATGCTGTTTTGGGCTGCATCAATAGAAGCATTATGAGCAGGACATGGGTGGAAGTGCTCTTCACTAGTTAGGCCTCATCTACAGTACTGTAGCTTTGGGCTCCGTATTTTTAGAAGGACATGGAAAAATTAGAGAGGGCCCAGAAATGGGTGACAAAAAACAGAGAGCTTAGAAGGCAAGCCATTTGAGGTTGATAGAAATAGGCATGTTCAGCTGCAGGAAAAGGCAACTAAGAAAGGACAGGAGTCTTTGAACTGACATCTGTCAGACCAGAGAAAACACCTCTTTCAGTTGTTTCAGCAATGTAGGTTTAGTTTTGTTATTAGAAAAAAAAAAGACATTCACTGTTAGAACAGTGAGGCAATGGGATTGACTGCCTACAGATGCTGTGAAAACTCCATCATTAGGGGTTTTCAAGAGGAGACTGGGTAAGCATTGGTCAGGGATGATCTATCAGTAGCTATGCTACTGCTAAAAAGCAAGTTAGAAGCCCAGGAACACCCTCCTCCACAACATGCACAGACACCTGGAAGATGGTAAGAGCTGGGCAGCCGAGCAGGTGGATATTGGAGAGGACCATACTCAGCAGCAGGAAAGCAAAGCAGTAATCCACAACTGGCTTATTTATAAAAGGTTAAAAGAGTTGGAATAAGTTCATGGAAGGGATAAAGAAAGAGGAATTTTGGCTATGCAGTAAGATGATAGGATTATGCTTGCTGTCCTCAGGTTGCAGAGAATGGAGGGAATTTTGTTGTCCCACATTTCTAGGCTTCGTTGCTTGCCATGTGGGGTCTGGAAGGATTTCCCACCCCCTTCTGTTGCTACAGGTGTTGGGATTCCCCCCCCCTCCAACTTTCCTCAGACGCATTGGGTGCTGGCTGCACTCTTTTCAGAAGAGGTGGAGGACCTCTGCAGCTCCCCTTTCCACCGGGTAAACTAAGGAAAAGGAACAAATCATAGAATTCAGGGCTGGAAGGGACTTTGAAAGATCATTGAGTCCAACCCCCCTGCTCTGGCCAGGAATACTGTTGAGATCAAATTATCCCATCAAGGTGTCTGTCCAGTCTTCTCCTGAAGACTTCAAAAGGTTGGGGACTACACCAACTCTTTGGGATGTCTATTCCAGATTCTGGTCACCCTTACCATAAAGAAGTTCGTCCTTATATCCCACCTGAAACAATCCTTTAACAGCTTACGGCCATTGCTTCTTGTCCTCCCCTGGGCTGCCCTAGTGAACAGTTTTCCCTCTGAGCTCCCAATATTCACCCCTTACAAACTTATAGACTGCCACCAGGTGTCCCCCCCCAGTCTTCTCTTCCCCAGGCCATATAGTCTTAGATCCCTTAAGTCTTCCCTCATAAGGTTTGTCCACCAGGCCCTTAATCATTCTTGTAGTCCCTCTATGGACCCTTTCAAGATTCTCCACATCTTTGTTTGAAGTGCAGCACCCAGAACTGGACACAGTATTGCAGCTAGGGTCTCACCAGTGTCTAGCAGAAAAGACGTATCACTTCCTTAGCCCTACCTGTGACACATCGACTAACGCATCCCAGTATGCTGCTAACTCTGTTGACTACAGCATCGCACTAGCGGTTCATGTTCATCCTGTGATCAACCATGGCCCCAAGGTCCCTTTCAGCCATTGTGCTGGTCAGACATCTACTCCCAACCTATATTCACGTTGCTGGTTACTTCCCCTCAAATGAAGCACTATGTATTTATCCTTTAGATAAAGGCATACGAATTATTCTACATTTGTAGAAAGTAGCTTTATGGTACTCAAAGACAGGTTCAATTTTACCTACTAAACCAAGGTGTCTTCTCCCCTCTTCAAAAGGAAGGGGCTATCACAAAAAAGTGGTTGAAGATAAGAGTGAAACTGCTATATTTGGCTCACCTCACAGATGACATGCATAAGAAACAAAAGTTGAGCTAAAAGTGCATCTACTTTTAAGTAATACCTACTATATTTTCTCACATACAGCATGTGGTTTTTGGAAAAGAGGTGCAAGTTGGAATGCATGTTACATGCAAGAAATATTGTGGAAGCAGTTTCTGCCACCTGCCAGGCAAAAGCAAAAGTAAAATATGCACCTGATTCACAGGAAACTGGACAATAAGCAGGCTCAGCTCCCTAGTTGCTATTACTCGGTGACTTGCTACATTGAAAGATCTATCTTTCTTCTTAATTCTACTTTTCAAAAACAAGTTGTGTATATCTTATTTCAGAGCATGCTGCAATATGGTAAATGACAGGTTTATCTCAGTGTTACTGGCACAGAGACAATCCTGAAATCTACTTTAAAATGAAAAATTAAATATTTAAACTTATTTTTTACATGCATGAAATGCCCCAAGTAGTACAAGTGTAAACACCACTCTCAATTCAGCATTAAGAAAAAAAATGGCTTTTTAAAGACATTCTACAGTTCAAGAATTCTCACTTATGAAAACCATGTAACTAATATGTTTTGAGCCTGAAGGAGTAATATTTGAGGGGATGCAGTCAGAAGAGACAAGGACTGCATTACCAGGAATAGTGAAACAAATAATAGTACTACATGTTAAAGGAAAAGTGCTCAACTACTGGGAACTGACTTAAGGTAAAGACTTACTAGAGACAGGGCAAAGAGCCTTTTTAGTCTGTACTGACCTAGCTCACACATGAACTGTTACTTAGATAAGATTTCTGTACCACGTCCATTAACAATTCCATCAACCCTTTGACAGATTCATGGAATCACCTCCCCATTCCACCTTTGGCTTCTTCTATACAAGTCAAAGTGTTGGAGAAAAGAAAAAGTGCTATATAAAGTGTATGTTAGACCTAAAAATTGCTTATACAGCCACTGGGAATCAATCATTAGTTATTTTTCAGATGTTATAAGATACCATTCAATAAACCTGGGCAGGACAAGATCTTTTCAACACTATTCAGGTAAGCAGACACCTAAAAAGGCAACTGCCCATAAATTTTGGGAACACCACAGAACTGAAGTCAGCCAGCACTTCTGCTTTCTTCCAATCCTGTAGAACTGCAGTAATTCTGAGAATCTGTCCTCAAAAGACTTAGACCCTTTCATGCAAAAAGAGACCGAAACAAAGGATATCATCTTAAACACCATACAAATAACTGTATCGCTATTATGAATTCTCACTTGTTCACTTGATGACCCAAATCAATCACTTTAAGCTATAGTTCATTGCAAAAAAAAAAAAGAGAAAAATTTGCACAATTCTGTTTGTGTTTATTTCGAAACACACAAGAGATTTCTACTTCAGTGTTTTTATTATTCTGAAAAAATACAGTTGAAAGTTGAAGATTAAAGTAGAACACTCGTGCATTTTTTATAATAAAGCTTTGCACAAATCTATGTTCACCTTCATTCTATGCCATGACCTAGACTTAAAGTAAATGATTAGAATCCTAAAAAAAAAACAAATAAGAATTCATATAACGCCTCTGTTCTACAGGAACTCCCATAATCCCAGTAAATTTTAACACCTATAAAAATCCATTCAATTAATTAAAAAAATTCTTATAGTGTTAAATTAGGAACATAAGCACCTTTCAGTAAGTGGTAAGATTATGCTTTCATACATAGTTTTAAAGGCAAACTATTTACATTTCAAACCACTGAAAAGTTTTTCCATGTACATTGAGACTGGTAGGTCTTTGTTTAACCCTAAAACTGTTTTTCACTCCCAACTGCAGCAGATAAAGAAAATATTCTCCCCATTCTATCAGAATTCTTTGTCTTCACTATTGTAGTAAGTGTCTTCAGTTCCCTGCAGCCAACATGAACAGCTGTCAATGGCATTTTATGAACACGTTCCTTATATTTACGAAGACAAAACGTATGTTACAGCAAGCTGCACGTACACCCAGCTTTTCTAATACAGCCATACAACTGCACAAATTTCAGACGGGAAAAATATCTGCTTCAAGCAGGTTTCATCTTTTATAAATACCACATAATATGATATATCATTAAGCAATTTGCTGCTCAAATAAATAGAAAATTTGCATTTTAATGTCACATTGAATTTTAGTACATTTCAATCCAAGAAAAATAAACCAACAGACATGGTAATGAGTACAGGATTATATATATTACAGTATGCCTTGTTATAATACATTTGTGGCTGTATGATAAAAAATAACTCAAGGGCAGATGGAATTTGAGTTCATTTAAGTAACTGTCAGGAACAAAGCATTAAATGCATTTCTGAAATAAGTACTTTTATTTAATTTCATAATCTTAAAACAGCATTAGACCTTGGCCTTATTTAAAAAAAGTTTAGTTAACACTGAGCTAGCTAAGTAAGTATTTTGGAAGATTTAAACATAATATAGAAAAATGCTTTCCCAATCTTACGTACAATGAAGGGATAAGATGGTTTCTACAGCAGCACCTATGGCAAAATTCATGATGAGCCTTGAACTAGAAATGTACATTAACAATTTCTTTGAGGAATCCAGCAAATTTCAAAAGTCGCCCACTTCTTATGAAAGCAAGAGATACAGGGTTATTGTATGCAAAAATAGTTTTTTGAACTGTTCTTAATTTTCAATTAAAAACTAAAGGCATGGTTTTCATTATAAAAAAAGTCAAGGTACAACAGAAACTTGAAAAGAATTTGAGCTACACTGATTTTGCAATGCTCTGAGAAAAGGAAAAAACAGAAAGAAAAATGGTCAATTAGCTAAGCTTTGTGCTCTAACCAAACTACTTACAGTGATTTTTCAATGGCAAAAGCCCATGCTGACTGGGTGACTTGACCGTTCCAAATACTTTTTGTAATAAGTTTTATTTGTATACAAGGACACTAAAACGATCCAGTCATGCAATGTTCGTCTTAAGCATTCTGCATCTCTTTTCCGATCTTGTAGCTAAGGATCTTGTTCCAGTCAATCTTAGTGCGGGTAACTGGCAACTGTCGACGTAAGGCTTTGAAGGTAGTGTCCGACATTGTCTGATAATTCTCACTGATGGCAGTCTGTTTAAACAAAAGTATTAAAGAAGAACAGAAGAGAACTGAAACGGCAGTCAAAGTAAAAATCAGGGTAACAACTTGTTACCTCTTCCTCTGTGAAATCTTATGAAAATATTCAGTTTAAAAATTAAAATCAGAGTTAACTACTGTAAGTTGTCAGATGGGTTCTAAAATCGTTTCGGTGCAGGAAGTTTTTTAGCCAACAGTGGGGCTTTTCTTTAGGCCATAAGCTTTCATTTCTTTTCCTGTGTGATAAGTCCAAACAGTATGAGCAAACTGTGCATGTGGCCCTTTTAGTCAAATTACAGTTTAAAATATACAGTGCTTTTAGAAAATGAATGTAAATGTGACATTGTGTCTAGAACTGACACTGTCATGTCAACAGTCTAAGTGAACAGGTCTTAACTGCCACATTTTCTAGATAGCTACGCTTTGAAAAAAATCCATAAAGTGCATCCAGCTGTATAACTAAGTTTAGCCATAGTTATCAAACCTGTTTAACTGTGGATTGGCTTCTCACAACTGAAGTTGTGCAATATTTCACGAGCACCTAAAGACTCTAATGAGAACTTAGGTCTTAATATTCTAGGCACTGTGTAAAGAGAGTCTGTTCTCAAGCAAACTTAGAATGTATTTCAGGATAAAATGCAATAAGTGGGTGCAACTCTCAGAAGGACTGGTAAAAGATGACTAGAAATGTTAACATAGTCATATAGTCGGTAAATTAAGTTTACTTACAATACCTAATTTTCCTATTTTAGTAGCATGTTGAGCTTGGAACCACTCTGGAATAAATCTATAGAATTAAATGTCTTGTATTTACATGTTACACTTGTTTAAGACATCATACCTGATACTCATTTTCTGCAGCCTCTACAATTTTTATGAATTCCTTTGCTGTTTGGGTTTCATTCTAGGTGGGGGGGGGAAAAAAAAAAGGTTTCAAAAAGATGTCACACTAAACATGTCAATTCCAAAACAGCTTTCAAGTTCTACTTCTTCCACAGTTATGAGACACTTAAGGTAGTCTTCATTAGTCAGACCATAAATTCCATTCTTATATTGTGAATGATATTTTGAGATCTGATGAAAATTCTCTGAAGGGTCAGTACTGGTTTCTTTGGTACCAAGTTCCTCACACCTGAATTATGAAAAAAAAAGTAGCGTTGCACTGGCCTCTAGTCAATCCATTATTATAAACGAATCATTACTGGAAAGAAGAAAACTAATAAAAAACTATGCAACAGTATCCCTGTTCAGTTATTTTCAGCAATTGAATACAGACTCATTTATACCAACCAGGGATATTTTCAATTAGCAATAAGTGCACCTCAGATTAGCATCACTGGCTCCAGTTGACTTTAGCCAACACCAATACAGTCAAAAGATCCCTTTGAGCTTCTGCAGTTATTCTGATAAAAAATATAGAACTGTCAAATTTACAAGAGTATAAAAACTAGGAGAGATGCAGAACAAAAACACATTTGGGAGCATTTCTGTTATAATCAGGGACTCCAGTTTTCTCTGTTAAAAAATCCAATATTCCCTGATAAAAAATCCTGGTATCTCTGATTAAAATCTCCCAAGTCTGCTGTATCTGCACTTTAAATGAAACACCAGGTTTCATTCACACACACACACACACGTATATGTATATATGTATGTATCAAGTTGAACACAATGTTTTATTGATATATATGTGTGTGTACACACACACACACACACTTCAAAGCAATTTGGAAGCCTACCAGTGCCTCAATCACTATAATAAAATAAATCCTAAACAGTTATAAATTTTGGCATTTGATTTTGGGTTTTTCCATCATGGAAAATCAGAGCTCCTCTTTTGCTCACCAGGAAGTAGATCCAGCTACGGCTATCCCCACCCAACTGCTTTGTGGTGCTGAACAACCTGGACATGCCGATGCCCTGGCTATGCCATTGCCCCTCACTCCCCACCCACAGCACCTCCTCCCCAAGGGCTATGGGGCCAGGAACCTGGTCTGCAGTCCCCTGCCCCCACAGTTGCACCCAAACCCATGGCCACTGTCTATGGGAGGCAGTGGCTTCTGTGGTGAAGTGGAACGTGAAGTTCAGCTGGACTGGACCCTGTGGGAGAGTGGGGAACATGTGGGCTGCCTGCTGCAGGCTTGGGGCTCCCCACACTGCTTGCCCTTCCCCCTGGGGCCTCGCAGGCAGGACCTGGAGCAGCAGGGCAGAGTGGGGCCTGCCAGGAAAGCTCACTGCCACAAGCCCTGCTCTGCCCTGACAAGGCACCCTCTGCCCACCCAGCAGCAGCAGAAGGAGCCTTGCCATGGCAGCATGGGGTTTGTGGTGGCAGCACTGAGCTTCCCCACCCCACTCTGCCCTGTCATACCAGGTCCTGCCCATTGGGTTACAGAGGCCCTGGGGGGAGAGCAGCAGGACAGGGTGCCTGGGCCCACATCCGCCCCACCCAGGATACAATTCTGGGGGGCACATGCCCACCATTCCCTCCAAGAGTGCATGGTATGCAGTGACAGGG